CTGACCTGCCTCAGTTTACTAGAGTTGCCCGCTTAGTGACAATCTTGTCTATAAGAAATTCCGTTTTTGTGGTGATTTTTCGCTTTTTAAACATAAAACTGATTATTATACTGTATTTTATGCCATGGGGTCCCAAGAAAGTCAGTGGTAAGGTTCAACATATGAAAAGACATGTAATAATGACCACAGAGGAAAAACAAGAGGTTATATGTAAACATGATAATGGTACTAGTGTTGTTGAACTAGCTTGGCAGTACAGTACAATAAATCTTCAGAGGAGGAGGCGGCGGCATTAGAGGATGTCCCTTTCTCATTAATTAAGAAAATGTGTGCAGTATGGGAAGGACTGCAAAGTTTTGCTGACAAGAATCACCCAGATAAAGCTGTAACAGCCCATTGCATTGATCTTTTTAATGACAATGTGATGCCTCACTACAGACAAGTGTTGAAATGTAGGGAAAAACAATCTTCAATGGAACGATTTCTAGTGAGAAAATCAAGATGTGAGCCAGAAGCAGGTCCTAGTGGTATGCATGCAAAATGTGCCAAAGTGTGTACCCCAGAGAAGTCCTCACTGCCTGATGTTATAATGGAAGGGGACTTCCCTTCCAAACAGTAACACCTCTCCTCCCCCCCCTCCTCACCATCTTCCATACACCATCAAGAATCTTCCATAAACTTTTGGTCCAACTTTTGCGTCATTCAAAAACAAAACTAAAAAGTACCTACTTTCATCTTCATAGTTTTTTTACCTTGTTGCTTTAAAATTACACTGTATCTATTGCTACCCAATCTCCCAATCTTTATATACCCAATCCGAACATCTTTACCATTGTGATCATTGCTTTCTTCTTATATGTACTATCAATCTGCTGTATGGTGTCTATTAATCTTGTTTAAATTACCAATCAAGCTGTCAATGTAATCAATCAGAACTTTAATATACCAATGTGCTTTAATATACTTACTAATCTCTCTCATCTCATTTTTTTCTTGCAATGTATCTGTTATCAATATATTAATTCTGCTAGAATTTACCTACTTAAAATTATCTGTTAGATTAAGGACCTGCCCGAAACGCTGCGCATACTAGTGGCTTTACAAGATTGTAAATACTATGTTATGTATTCTCACAAACCCAATGTACCTTCTTGTATAAAATAAATAAATAAAGGTAAGATAAACATATGTACTGTATTGTAGTTAGAGATAAAAAAATTATTCAGAATAAAATGTATGTATAAGTTAATATTTTGGAGGGTGGGGGACAGATTAATTCAATTCCCTTTATTTCTTATGGGAAAAATCGCTTTGACTTACGATATTTCAACTTACGATCCATGTCTGGGAACGGATTCCCATCGTAAATTGAGGCCCCACTGTAGTTTATATTGTTGTTTCTACTTTATTGTATTGTATTGGCAATATTGTTCTTCAATTTGCCCTTATATGCATATATACATCTAAAGCATTCTATTAGGAATACTTTCATACCAAAATGAGCGCTGTAACATGAAAATTGATGTTAGGAACCGGAAAAAATACTAAACATTTGCGGGTGGGAATTGGGGACGTAGAGGGTAAGCGTCTGGGTGCTCCCTCGCGAGTAACGCGTGGCCCCTCTTCAACTCATCCGCAGGTGGAACGTGACCAGGTTTTTTATTTTATATGCATATACTCCTTTAGAGAATGCTATTGCAAACCCATTGATACCAAAATGAAAGACCTAGGACAAAAATTGAGGTGACCAAAGAGAAAAGAGGGTACACATTTTATCACTCTTGTGCGCTCCCAGGTAACTCGCTTGGTAAGCCGGGCTTTTGGAGCTTATATGCATTTACTAGTCTAGGGAATTCTATTGTGAACACATTGATACCAAATTGAATAACTTAGGACGAGAATTGAGGTGACAAAGTTGAAAAGAGTATACATTTTTCAGAATTACTGCCCCTCCCGTGGAATGCCCAAACCCGCCAGGGGTAGTGCGGAGCTCGCGCGCCCAGATCGTCAAAGTGTTAAAGGAACTGGCAGAAGAACTATGCCTGCCGCTGAAACTACTTTTCACAAAATCTCTGAACAAAGGGGTAGTCCCTCTAGATTGGAAATACTGTATACAAATGTTACTGTACCCCTATTTTAAAAAATGGCAGAAAGAGCTCAGCAGAAAACTACTAGCCGATCAGCTTGACATCCACACATCTGCAAGCTCATGGAGAAAATCCTCAGGAGAGAATCATTCACCATCTTTCAGTGAACAACCTTGTTCACCGAACAATCGACACAACATGGATTTGTTAAAAACAGATCCTGCCATACAAATTTGCTCACATTTTTGGAAAAAGTAACCAGCTACTCAGACAAATGCCTTCCAGTGGATGTAGTATACATGGATTTTGCTAAAGCTTTTGATAAGGTACCACATGAAATACTGGCAAGGACATTACAGGCCCATGGAATAAATGGTAAAATATTAGAATGGATAAAACAATGGTTGAAGGAAAGAAAACAAAGGGTCATGCTAAATGGAAACGAATCTGAATGGAGAAATGCAATAAGTGGGGTGCCACAAAGGTCCATTTTGGGACCTACCCTTTTTGCAATATACATGAATGACTTAGATGAGAATATTACAAACCACATCAAATTTGCAGATGATGATTTATGGTAAAGTGGGAATGAAAATGATATTGAAGCCTTACAAAGAGATCTACTTGAACTCCACAAATGGTCAGAAGACTGGCAGATGCTTTTTAATATCAACATATGTAAGACCATGCATATGGGGCATAACAATCCATGCCAAAATTACAAAATTAATAGCATTCCACTACAGCAGATTGATGACAAAAGGGACCTTGGAGTCAAGATCCACCACTCATTAAAAGCTGCACAACAGGTGGTGCAGCAGTCAGAAAAACTAACCAAACTCTTGAGAAAATCAAGCATACTTTTGACTATAAGGAAAGAAGGTAATGATCCAAGCATGGAAACCTCATTTTCAAAAGGACATAGCTGCTCTTGAGAAGGTGCAACATCAGGCAACAAAAGTCATTCCAGAGCTACGTCATCTCTCGTATTAGGAATGCTTGAAAGCCACAGTAGTAACAACACTGCAAATAAGGCATGACAGGGCAGATCTCATTGAAACATTTAAAATACTGAACAAGTTAGAGGATTTTGATCCGGATATTTTCTTCAGAAGGTCAGATGTAACACAAAGAGCAACGGTTTCAAGCTCAACAAACCACAATATAGGACAACAAACCACAGGAGATGCTTTTTCACCCACAGGGTTATTAACTCATGGAACCGCCTACCTGCCAAAGCCGTAACTGCCAAAACTGTGCTGAATTTCAAAATATACATAGAAAAGATCATTAAGGCAAATGGGGGGACCTTCGACAAGCCACAGGCTTTCTGTCCTCATCGAGGCCACTAGAGTTATTAGCTCTCAGGTAAATCAGGTAAATATTTCAACTCCTTATATAAACGAAAATTATCATATAAAAGATTAGCACAGTATGATATTTATCAAGGTTATCTTTTGAATTATATTTAGATAACAGTGGGAAAATTATTTGCTAAACATTCGTCCACATTGAATCACCAACCAAATGACAAAGTTATACAAGTTATCTTCCCATTTACCCAAACCTGCTTTTCCAATTTGTGGAAGAGCCATTTGTGGAGGACAGTTTCAAGATTTTTTGACAATCTAGGATGACAGATTTCACCCATTCTTCTCTATCAATGCAAACATTGGAAACCTTCTCATAAAACTTGATCAGGTTCATAAGGCATGACTTTCCTTTTCTAGATCCTGTTGTCTCTCAGATACAAGGTTAGTCTTCTCCAGGTGCTTCCCCTATCTTCTTTCTGGTTAACATCTCCAGTATTTTACAAGGTCTTCAGTTTCAGGTCTCATAAACATCCTCTTTCTTCAATAAGGGTACCATGTTTGCATTCTTCTAGGCTTTCCAGAGTGTAGTCCTTTGGAAACATTGCAATCCCCATAATCTTTGTAATTTTCATTTCTATAATTGCAATGATGTTCAATTGTATCATCTGTGCCCTTTCATGTAGCTCTCCTAACTTATTCATCATACTGTACCACCCACCGGTCTTGTAGTACAGTTGGCTTTGTTCTCAACTCACAATTGGAGATCCTGGATTCAATTCCTGGACAAAACAGAAACAGTTGTGCATGTTTCCTTTCAACTAATGTACCTGTTCACCTAGCAGTAAATAGGTATCTTGGAGTTAGGCAACTGTTGCATCCTGGGGAGGGTTAGTAGTTTAACCTTGAGGGGGGACCTCAATACAAGCCTAAATTATATATATATACACAGGCTTCCTGTCCCCAACAAAATATACTGTATGTTCATTAATGGACAACTGTATCCTCGTGAAGGAGGTGGGGGGTCAACACAATATTGGTTTGGGAGGTAAGAATGACTTGCGCCTTAGGTAGGTATCAGGTATCAAAAGATATGTGTTGGATGTAACACTTACTGGGTGCTTTATGAAACATTCCTTATTTTCCACATAAAGCAGCTAGTGATATAGTGTATAGTACTGTGTATACTGTTTAACATAATAATGTACTTGTACAATTAGTGATTAGAGGTACTCTATGCAAAGTGCAGTGTATTTTAAACAGAGTGTAGGGCAGTGTAGTTATCTTCAGACAGCTCACTCATAACTTATGAGGTACAGTACAGTAGTGACATAATGTGCTAGTAAGTGGGAGCTAGTTTTTATAGCACACAACTCAGAGATATGTATGTCATACAATGTACAACACTATCAAGGAGATATTGTTAATTTACCAGTACTTATACATGCACTGTTGTGTGAAATATTATGTACAAGATTTATGGAACCATGTACTTGGTATAACATATATATAGTATGAATTCAATACAAGCTTACTTACAGTATCACATGCATGACATAAAATGCTAAAAATGCAACATAAGGCAAGTTTTTAATTCTCTTACAGTATGCAGTGTTTGGCAGCAAGTCCTTCAGAGTGACTCTGTGTATCCACATCTGCCGGTGTTCATTACGTTAACACTTTCGCGCTCTCGGCGAAGGTCACTCAGCCAACCGTATGTGCGCGCGGCGTTTTTATCGCTTAAGCGTAAAAACAAAAATGTGTATACTCTTTTTACTTTTCTGACCTTAGTTTTCATGCTACGTATTTCATTTTGGTACCAACGTGTTCGCAATAAAATTCTCTAGAAGAACATCAGTAAAAAAAAGTCACAAAAGCTATAGAGATACCAGCATGAAATAAATAACTACGAAGATGAGTCGCCGTGAGCGCTCAACAGCAACAAAATGTTTTTACTCTTGGGATTATTATCACCTCTACAATTGTCCTACAGCCTTAATTTTGGTATCAATGGACTCCCAATAAAATTCCCAACACGATGATATGAATATAATCGTAGAATAATGGTCCCGGCCCACCCGCAAGAGTGTGGGAAGTGGGCGCACTGTTACCTGGTAACGGTGACCGGACGACACACGCGCGAAACGTTGCTTTGAAAGTTTATACTTATTTCACTGTTCTGATATTATTATTGTATGTATGTCATTCATTTTTGTGGCAATGTTTTCGCAATAGAATGTTCTATGAGCTAAATTATACTACACAAACTTGGACCAAATAGGTGTACTTACCAAGGGAAGGCTGGTTGTGGAACAGTAAGTTGAGCATTTGTTCTTCTCTCCACCTTCTTCAGGTTCTTCATTCCTGAAGTTGCTCAACAGATGGTTTGTAGGTGGAGTGAAGCTGTTGCGGGTGGTTACTTCTTCACCACCCAATACACCTGTTTCCGGTGGTAATTGGTGTAGCAGGGAACAACACAGAGTGCAACACCACAGGTCTTGCATCCATAGTTCGTGTCCTTCCTTTTACCGGACCGTGCGCATGCATGACACTTGAGACGTTTGGGCAGTCTGTAAATTTCATGTTTCAGTTTGTAGTTCATGCGATTTTCTGAATCAACAATAGGGCGGCCAGGTCCTCTCGCTGGAGGTGTAACAGGAGTTGCAGGAGAGTCAGATTCATCTGACAAAACAGTTTCGTCAACTGGCAGTGTGGCAGACATGTCGGGTTCAGATTCGTTGTCTGCTTCATCTTGAGGTGGTGTAGTGAACAAAGGCCGCCTCACACCAGATGGTCCGGGAGTTGGCATGGCGTCAGCATTGGCAGGAGCTGTGTCATCATTTATGTCTGGAGCGTGCCGCAAGTGTTGAGATGATGATGATGTTTTAGGCCACTCCTCTGTGTCCCAGTGCAATAGGGCCCAGATTGCCACTTCGTGGAACTGTAGCAATGTTAGCTTTTTTCGATCAGTTGTGTTGTATTTGTACAAAACATAGGCATTATGCAATGCCATTTGCAGGAAATAAAAGGTAATCTTTTTGGTCCACTTGTGAGTTTTCCTGGTAAAATGGTAATATTTAACCATTTGATCGAAGTGGTCCACACCTTTCATGAACTTATTGTACTCGCAAATTGCAGTCGGTTTGTTCACTGTTACCTGTTGTATTCCACTTGTTCCGTCTCGGTTGCGAATTCGCTTCCTTCGCTGAACTCGCTGAGTGTCTGCATTGTGGATGTTGGTAATGATTGAAACCACTCGCTTGTCTTTCCACAGGAGAATGAAGGTATTATCTTTGCGGCGGTATACTGTGGTATCCAGTGGAAGTTTACCCTTGGCTAGAGCTTGCAATACCTTTGGGGCGCCACGTAGCATTCTAATTGTGCCACATGTGTACACCCCAAGTTCTCTCAATGTTTCTTGAGTGCTTGTAGAAGTGCTTGGGCCTTGACCTTGATCCATTTTTGATGAAGTAATTGGGTATAATCCACACGGAAACGGGTAAAAATGCTCGAGTTTGGCGCGCGAGGGGAGCGTGATCGACTCACGACACGTGACACGAAAACAATGGGCCCGTCACGTGACCGGGTAGGCCGACGCGCCAGGCGGCCTAGTGGTGAGAAAGAGAACTTCATGGCGCGTCGTTTGAAACAAACCCCAATGAAATCGGATTAAAATTGAATTTTATACAAATATTTTAAAAGTAGACATAACTTTATGTCCACTATGCGTTTACGTTAGACGAAACCGAACGCGCCGGCGCGTCCAGATAGCGCGAAAGTGTTAAATAATAATAATAATAATAATAATAATATTAATAATGATGATAATATTTTATTTATTAAGTACACAAAGGGATCATATTATAATAGCCTCTCATTATGCAAAGGTAGTGTGGGAAAAGCAGAATGTGTGGCAGTATATGTACAGTGCTCTCCTGTATACAGATGCTGTACTGGGTGGAATGTCTGCACTGTGCCACCCTGCTGAACAGACGGTGATGGATGCAAACGTACAAGGTCTTTATGCTAATTAAAAGTGAGTTTAAGTTTAGAATCAATTTAAATTACAAAAAATGCAATCTTCCTTACCTCCTATGACAATGTGAATCTGCTGAGGCTGAAAGTCTTCGGTTGTAACATTGTCAATATTAATGACAAATGGAGCAGCTCCCAAGGCACATGTTATCAGAGCTGGGATCACGAGGACAAGCTCCAGCACCTTCATCATTCCTAATATTGTGCCTGACAAAAATGTGAATTATTGAAGGAATATACAGCAATATTTTCATAATGCTTAATGTTTAACAGAAAATTGCATACATTTACCAAAATTTACCTCAGATGCACCATTTCTATTGGCCTCAGTGGGGACAATGGGGCACAGGTTCCCACATTTTAAAATGAAGTACAGTACTCTATTGTCTTGGCATTTACTTCAGTGGGTAGGTGAATTCATGAGTTTATTACCCTATCAGTAAACAATTATTTGATGTTCGTCCTACATTAAGGTTTGTTGAGCTTGAAGGTGTTTTTCCCTTGTGAGTTTTATTTTAAATTTTATAGAAATGGTCTGGATTAATATCTACCATTGTCTAGATAACGAATAAAGTTTACAATTTTCTGGTATTAATATCTTGAGATGAGATGATTTCGGGGCTTAACATCCCGGCGGACCGGCCCTCAAAAAGGCCTCTTTTTTGTTACATATCCCCAGGAAGCAGCCCGTAGCAGCTGTCTAACTCCCAGGTACCTATTTACTGCTAAGTAACAGGGCCATCAGGGTGTAAGAAACTCTGCCCATTTGTTCCTCCTCCACCGGGGATCGAACCCAGAACCTCAGGACTACGAATCCGAAGCGGTCCACTCAGCTGTCAGGCCCCAAGCAGTAAAGACTGCCAAAATTAAATTAGTTGCACATCTTAAGGGTAAATGGTAATTACCTAAGTATAGTTACCTAAGTATAGTTACAGGATGAGAGCTATGCTCATGGGGTCTGTCTTACAGGGGGGATTACTCAGACAGTTTAAGTTAGAATTAAGTTAAGCTAAGTTTAAGTTTTATCAGTGCTCATGGTGTAGTGGTAAAACACTCGCTCTGTGCTTGGCAAGCCTTTGGCCTGGGTTCGTATCCTGGCCGATGGAGGATTTACTTGGCGCCAATGCTTAACTGTAGCCTCTGTTCACCCGGGAGTTAACGGGTACCTGGTTATTATTTATTGATTTATTTACATATATATATATATATATATATACAAGATGGTACATTGGGTTTATGAGAGTACATAGCATTGGTGTTTTTACATTTTTGTAAAGCCTCTAAAATGCATAGCATTTTGTGGAGGTCCTTAATCTAACAGATAATTTTAAATAGGTAATTTCTAGCAAAAATTGAAAATTTTTTAACAGGTACATTGTAAGAAAATTTGAAAAAGATCAGTAGGTACATTAAAGTTTTAATGTACCTACTAATACAACAGAAAGTTAACAGAAACAGTTAAAGACTGTTACTTTTTGTTTCTTACTTTAACAGAAAGTTAAAGTAAAATTTGAGAGTAGCGTGTTACTCTAAGCGTGTTCTGCTACCTCTTAAGGGTAGGTAGCGTGTTCCGCTACCTCTTAAGGGTAGTGTGTTCCCATGGCCTTCCTCCTACCACCGTAACCGGCGGTGGGAAATGGCTCTGGCAAGGCTTAACTCATGAGCACTTAAAGGAGCACCGCCCTGCTCCTTATTGTCCAAATTTCATTGTCTCTCTTATGATCATGAATATCTTTGTTAAATGTCCAGACTTCAAGGACATGGGTGTTTCTTGTTTCCCGACCATCCCTCTCGGTCACTTGTCCCTTGATCAAATTCTTGGTGAATCAGATAACTTCGATATCGTACGCCTTATGCACGTTTGTTCTCGTATTGGCATCCTTTGTGATATTTAGGGTCTTTTGAATATCCTGCACATTTGATGTGCTACATAGCCTTCCTGGCTTGGTGCCTTCTTTTGATATTTACTTACTTCTCCCTTACATGATTCACGTTCCAACTGTATGCAGAAGATACACATGCTGTATTATAACAAGGGCTTCGTGCAGTGAAGTGAATAGGGCTTCGTGCAGTGAAGTGAATAGGGCTTCATGCAGTGAAGTGAATAGGGCTTCATGCAGTGAATACATGCACATCACTCTGTCAAAAATGTCATTCGGTCAATCAGCTTAAGCATTGTTAGGTCTGTCCAGCATGTGATGATCAAGCCAGAGAAACAAAGCTGCCAAAAAACATTAGACAGTTCACTTTTGCATAGTGGTAGATGGTTGGAAGAAGTTAAGTGAGAAGGTGGTGGAGGCCAAAACCATCTGTAGTTTCAAAGCATTATATGACAAAGAGTACTGGGAAGACGGGACACCACGAGTGTAGCTCTCATCCTGTAACTACATTTAGGTAATTACACAGACAACTTAGCTTTCCCTTGGCTAAGGGAAAGGCAACACTGAGAAAAATGTACAATTTTTATAAAGTTTAATTTAATCAAAATTAAAATAAGGAAAAAAAATGTCAGCATGATTCAGACATAATTTTTCCCTTGTTGCTGTTGAAACATCAACAAGGAGTGATCATACAGCTTAATGGGGGTGCCAAACTTAGAAGAGAACATATTATAAACAAGAAACTACAGTATTACAGTATCTACTGTGACTTGAACCATCTACATTTGTTTGTGTTTAGTTTAACAAGGCTTACTACTTCTTACCATAATATAATGCTGTTTTAGGCTGAATTGGTTAGTTTAGCATCTGTTAAGGGCAGAAAGTCTAGGCCATTCCTTGTAAATAAATAATCAAATAAATAAATACATAAATAAATGTCACCCACCCAGTTGCCTATTGCCATTATTCAGTTGCTTGCATGAACAATGAACACGACAGGAACTACATAATTATTTATTTTACTTAAATATTTACAATAAAGCACATTCATAAGTAGACACCAACGATAGTAGAGATAGTAGTACATGCTCACCAGGCCAATACACCTCGCTGAGGTGGCTAATACACTACAACAAGTGTCACGTGTGGTAAACGTCACAATAACTACTTGTCACAATCAATTGTCATATGTCACTTTTAAGGCTTGTAAATCAACTTCACAAGCGCGAGTCTACAGTATACCGAGGCAGTCTACCGTATTCTACCTCGCACTTGACCCATACAACAATGTCTTGTCTATTAATAGCTTTTAATATACATTAATGTGCAAAATACCTCAAACGACGGAGGAGGTGGAGATGACGAGTGGCACCCAGCGAGGCACTCCAGGCACTGAGACACTCTGAGGCACTCGAGGTACTGAGATGCTGAGGCACTCGAGGTACTGAGACACTGAGGCACTCGAGGTACTGAGGCACTCCAGGCACTGAGGCACTCGAGGTACTGAGGCACTCCAGGCACTGAGTCACTCTGTGGCACTCGAGGCACTGAGACACTCTGAGGCACTCTGGCGTTGTTGAGTCTTCATATACCTAACCTTTCGTACCCGAACCGTCGTCATGGGAACCATGTCAGCTGGTGATAACAATAACAACAATATCTGGGCGATAAAAACCACAAAAATTGGAAGATAAATTTCGTTCTCGACTCACAATCGAGAATTCAAGGTTCGAATCCCAGGCGGGACAAAAATGGTTGGGCGCGTTTCCTATCACCTAATGCTTTAATAACCCTCCTGGGAGGGGGGGGAGGGGAGGGGTAGTTATTCCACCTTGCGGGGAGGGGGTGGGGGGGGGACCTCGATATAAGCCTAACATATAATTCAGCGTATCGGGGGACAGGATGCCTGAGTGTATTCATACACGGTAGACCTATATGGTCGAATTCTCAATACACACACACAACCCCACAACAAGCTGACTAACTCCTGAGTACCTACTTACTGCTAGGTGAACAGAGGCATTAGGTGAAAGAAGATGTGCCCAACCATTTCTGTCCCGCCCAGGATTCGAGCCCGGAATTCTCTATTGTGCGTTGAGAACGAATCCGACTGGGTTCGTTGTCGAAAAATAGGGATAGAGTTCCGGTAGAACCCTATATTTTTATATTAAGATTTTTTTTAATTTATATTATCATATTAATTTTTATATTAATATTATATAAATATTAATATAGGTCCCGGTATAGGTAGAGTTAGTGTATATGTATATGTATGTATATATCGTACCTAGTAGCCAGAATGCACTTTTCAGCCTACTATGCAAGGACCAATTTGCCTAATTGGCAGAGTACTTTTCTTTATTATGGTTAGGTTCGGTCATATATCTATGTTAGTTTTAACTCAAATAAAAAAAAAATACCTCATACATAATGAAATGGATAGCTTTATCATTTCATAAGAAAAAATTGAAAAATATATAAATTCAAGAAAACTTGGCTTATTAGGCAAATCGGGCCTTGCATAGTAGGCCGAGTACTGCGTTCTGGCTACTAGGTACGACATATATATATATATATATATATATATATATATATATATATATATATATATATATATATATATATATATATATATATATATATATATATATTATATATATATATGGGGGGTACCACCACTGGTGCAATTATAGGGACCCACAGCCTCAGAGAAGGGAACACAGAGCACTCAGGGAAAAACTTGACATTTAACTCTGAATACGAAAGAGTGTTCACTTCTCCTACCACCCCCTTTTTTTTTTATTATGATGTACACTTTATTATGCAAGGTTATACAGTTACATATCTGATTTTATACAAAAAATGAACATTAAGAGGACACAAGAAAAAGTTCGCTTCCTAGAGGCTGTAGATTTCCTCGAACTCCTCCGACGCCGGGCAGGAACCGAGGATGCAGCGGGCATTTCCCCTCTGGATCGCGACACTGAGGCGCTGAAAGAGAAAACTTGCTGCTCTAGGGTCTCTTGTGGTGTCAATGAGCTTGGAACCAAGATCCTTAAGAAACCTTCTTGCACTCTCACCCCATGGGCCTAGGGTCTCAGACCCTATTGGAACGAAATTGTACCTTTGATCTAATTGCCTGTACTTGACTGACTTTTGTTTTTCTCTGTGTGTCGCTGCGGCTCCTGCCGTGCCGGCAGAGAGGGTGATGTATGTCGTTGCCAGGGTGGATACGCAAGTATAGTCCCATGCTAACTGCCTGCCACCCTTCCACGGACGCAGTGTGATTCCGTCTGGTCGGCCGGCAAAGCTAACAGAGTCACGGTTCAGTAGGTTGCGGGGCTCTCTCTCCGCTGGACACTGAGCAGAGGCAAGGCTTCTTTTAATGATGTCGTTGACTTCGTCGTGTCTAGTGTGCCAACCACCCGATTTTCCACAGTGCAGGCCATGCAATCCATATTCGTCAGCATCTGCCTCGCCGCAAATACACCTGTGAACAGTGTGGATAGGGGCAGCAAGGCGGAGAGCGACTGCAATACGGAGCTCCTGCGGATCAAGACGTGTGCCTGTCGCAGACATAGGGACTGCCAGAAGGAAGTCCCCTGCATGGGGAGCCTGCACAGCTGTGAGGCGTGCACGATCACTGGGGGTTGTTGCTGCCTCCAGCAAAGCTGTGGCTTCTTTGTCTACAATGGGGCTGTCCCAACTGGATTGTTTCTTGGCTTTCGGCATGGCTGGTCTGAGTGCTGGGTCTGTCATGGCACCCCATTTCGTGTCGCATTCCGTGTAGTGGGGGTCCTGTATCCCCGCTACATCACTCAGGGTGTCAGGTAGAATTTCCTTAACCAGGTCATCTGATGCTGAGGAGGAAGACAGGAAGGCTGGGACAGCAATTTGGGTGGCGGTGCGGACACCCAAGCCACCGAGCCTGACAGGAAGAGTGGCTTGTTTCCACTGGTATTCGTTGAGGGAGAGGTTAACAACTTTTTCCAGCATGGTCTTCAGTAGGAGGTCATACTCGTCAAGCTTTGGGTTGTTGTAAGATGGGGCGCACCTCAGAAAGTAGGTTAGCCTCGGAAGGGATAGGCATTTGGTGAGGAGATAAAAAGCATCGTGGGCATCGATGTCACCTATTCTGTCTTCCATCCTCCTAAGGTCTGCGATTTTCTTGTCGAGGATCTCCTCAATGGCGTTAGACCCGAGGGGAGCTCCAAGGAGGGTGCTGTTCTCGGCCCTAATGACATGGGCTCCAGGCAAGGCAGACCTTATTCTAGCTACGATGTCTGGGTTGGAGGAGACTACTTCACACTTGGAAGGGTTCAGGACGAGACCCAGGCTTACTTCTTGCTCCCTTATTTTCCTGATATCTGACAAGAGGTGGTCTACGGTGCCAGCTATAGTGCCATCATCCAAAAACCAGATGTTGAACTCGCTGGACAAGCTTTCGGTGATTTCTTTTAAGACTAAGCAGAAAAGAAGGGGAGCAAGAGGATCACCTTGCTGAACACCTTCACATGATCAGATTTCATGTTCACCAAAGAGCAGTTTTGACTCGCCACTGTAGCACGATAGTATGAACGGGTAGAGGGGCCGGAAATGGCGATGTACGGCACAAAGTACTGCATCTCTTCTTACCATGTTGAAGGCATTCTTAAAGTCCAGTTTGAGCAGGGCCTTTTCATCAGAAATGTTTGTGATGTATGCTCGTGCTGCATGGGCAGCCGCTTCACAGTATATTATATATATATATTATATATATATTATTAAATATGACCGAAAAAGTAAGATTAATAATTCTAACACGAATTTTCTCAATCTTTCGTACATTTCTTTTCACTGTTGGAGGTAAATCAAAAATCAATTCTCCAAAATTCATTTTTATTTCTAGCCTGACGCGACACGAGCGCGTTTCGTAAAACTTATTACATTTTCAAAGACTTTTAGTTTACAAATACACAACTGAATAGAACTTACGCATATCCGATTTTATATCTACATTTGAGTGAGGTGGATGAGGTGAGGTGGCATTAATAGGGTATTAATTTCATCAACACAAGACAGAACACGAAACAATGGGTATTGAATAGAAGTGTTTGTAGAAAGCCTATTGGTCCATATTTCTTGATGCTTCTATATTGGAGCGGAGTCTTGAGGTGGGTAGAATATAGTTGTGCATTAATTGGCTGTTGATTGCTGGTGTTGACTTCTTGATGTGTAGTGCCTCGCAAACGTCAAGCCGCCTGCTATCGCTGTATCTATCGATGATTTCTGTGTTGTTTACTAGGATTTCTCTGGCGATGGTTTGGTTGTGGGAAGAGATTATATGTTCCTTAATGGAGCCCTGTTGCTTATGCTTATATATATATGTATATATATATATATATATATATATATATATATATATATATATATATATATATATATATATATATATAATTTGGGGCACACGTGAGGAACAAAGAATGAGGTGATTTGGTAAAATGCTATGCCCAAGATTACTATCCGAGTGCCGGCGGTGGGGTGGTTCAAATAGCCTCGGCTATCACCTCATTATGTCCGGTCGTGATGGTCAAGTGGATTAAGGCGTCTTGTACATACCAGTTGCGTTGCTTCTGGGAGTATGGGTTCGAGTCACTTCTGGGGTGTGAGTTTTCAGTTGCATATTGTCCTGGGGACCATTCAGGCTTGTTCGCATTTGTGTTCCTCACGTGTGCCCCAAAGAATGAGGTGATTTGGTAAAATGCTATGCCCAAGATTACTATCCGAGTGCCGGCGGTGGGGTGGTTCAAATAGCCTCGGCTATCACCTCATTATGTCCGGTCGTGATGGTCAAGTGGATTAAGGCGTCTTGTACATACCAGTTGCGTTGCTTCTGGGAGTATGGGTTCGAGTCACTTCTGGGGTGTGAGTTTTCAGTTGCATATTGTCCTGGGGACCATTCAGGCTTGTTCGCATTTGTGTTCCTCACGTGTGCCCCAAAGAATGAGGTGATTTGGTAAAATGCTATGCCCAAGATTACTATCCGAGTGCCGGCGGTGGGGCGGTTCAAATAGCCTCGGCTATCACCTCATTATGTCCGGTCGTGATGGTCAAGTGGATTAAGGCGTCTTGTACATACCAGTTGCGTTGCTTCTGGGAGTATGGGTTCGAGTCACTTCTGGGGTGTGAGTTTTCAGTTGCATATTGTCCTGGGGACCATTCAGGCTTGTTCGCATTTGTGTTCCTCACGTGTGCCCCAAAGAATGAGGTGATTTGGTAAAATGCTATGCCCAAGATTACTATCCGAGTGCCGGCGGTGGGGTGGTTCAAATAGCCTCGGCTATCACCTCATTATGTCCGGTCGTGATGGTCAAGTGGATTAAGGCGTCTTGTACATACCAGTTGCGTTGCTTCTGGGAGTATGGGTTCGAGTCACTTCTGGGGTGTGAGTTTTCAGTTGCATATTGTCCTGGGGACCATTCAGGCTTGTTCGCATTTGTGTTCCTCACGTGTGCCCCAAAGAATGAGGTGATTTGGTAAAATGCTATGCCCAAGATTACTATCCGAGTGCCGGCGGTGGGGTGGTTCAAATAGCCTCGGCTATCACCTCATTATGTCCGGTCGTGATGGTCAAGTGGATTAAGGCGTCTTGTACATACCAGTTGTGTTGCTTCTGGGAGTATGGGTTCGAGTCACTTCTGGGGTGTGAGTTTTCAGTTGCATATTGTCCTGGGGACCATTCAGGCTTGTTCGCATACATATATATATATGAATGTGTAT